GCAGCTTTTGCAAGCCCGGCCATGGCCTCAAATGCGTACTTGGCTGAAGCTGTTAGCTATGATAGCAATTGTGCTGTATAATATGCAGCTCTTTTTAGTTAAGAGCTAGCTCTGATGTGCCTACAAGAGTCAGGGTCCGAAGGATGACTTCACTGTAGTCACATACCCCCCCAGTGACCCAGTTTAGAGGGCACAGAGGATGATGTCTGTCCCACCGTCTTCCCAAGGGACCTCGTGAACAGATTTATAAGAATATAGAAAGAGTTGCATTTTTGTGCTTAAAATGATGCAAGTACTGCTTTCTTTGAGTACAGGTGAATGTGTTTGAGAAACCAAGGGCTTGACTATCTAGAAGCATGCAAGTTAAAGGACAGGTGATAACGAGTACCAGGAGTCAAGGCTAATCAGAAGCCCAGATGGCTTTATGCATGTTTAGCCTGTAGTATATCTGAAATGCTGGGAAACAACATTGCCAGTGATTGTTAAAAGGCAAAGCGAATTCTCACTACTAAGGAACATGGCCAGCAGATAAAGCCTTAGTTGTAGGTTTGAAAGATGAGTTCATAACAGTTCGGGTGTAAGAGGACCGAGCACAACGTACCGAGCTACCCAGTTCCAGCAAATGCCAAGGAGACGAAATGCTGATGCCATCAGAGTAGAGCAATATCAGGCCTGTGGAGCAGAGAATTGCTAGCTACAAATGCTCCTTTACTAACTTACTAGAAACCAAAACCTGGGGTCTGTGACCATGAGATCATAGCAGCCCACTCTGCAAAAATATTTGATGTATTGCAGAATACAAAATCCTGTGCTTTCTTTAGAAAAAGAAACTAAATCTGCCCTACCTACTCATTTCTGCTACTACTCAGTATTCCGTTTGGGACACGTTACAGTTAATTGGCTTTCACTTTTTTCTTGGCAGGAGTTTATTTGCCTATTTTTTGTTATCATTTTGTCAACTTGCAGGCTATTTCATGTACCTCCTAGCCTATTTGACAGGCTGTTTTCTCAAGCACAACTTCAGCTATTTCTGAAAACTGTTAATAGTTCGTTTGTAATGCTGTAACCTGAGCTCTCTCGTATGACTCAACAATTTCAGCCACTCCACTTGGGTTCATGTAAATGCACTGCGCTTGGTTGCTACGTACTGCACTTCAGTTTGGGGAAGGTGTGCACAGAAGCTGTCCAGCTTTGCTGTGTGTGTTCTGAGAACGATCGATGACATTCTTGCACCGTAACTGCACTAAAATGGGACTTTTCTGGCTTGGATGTCCGCTTTTCGTGCCCTTTGGCGAAAACCTTTCAAACGACTCTGGAACAGCTAAAATCAACACTGATCAGCCTGTTTAGACAGAGCCAGTTGGTGTAAAATGTCCCTGGCTGATGAATTTGCCTTTTCCCTCATGCCCACCAAAAGCATGTTAAAACCTGTTGCCTATTCACATGTCAAGTCTGGCAGAGTTTCTAATGAGAGAAGTTAATCTCTGTTTTGTCAGGTTTTAGCTGACAAGAATTTCCGTAGATTCCCTGAGACTGGAAGTCTTTGGCAGCTAAAAAGTTAACCTACTTGAAATGTGGGCCATGCAGCCGTGGCTGTGTCTCTACAAGGTGCTTTATACCCATGCTGATTTGAGTCCTTGTAGGACAACCCAGCAATAAATTCTCATTAAACGTAAAAATTTTCTTTGGTGCTATGATTCATGGTCACAAAGAAAATATGATGGGGGGGTTATTTAAGAAGGGCTTCCAGGGTACAGAGTGGAGGAAACTGGCATGACTGCCAGGCACAGCAGGGCTGACTGACATGAGAAACACCTTTTCTTTTCTTTTTTTTTTTCCCTTTCAGTAGTTGCTCATTATCGTGGAGCTTCCCAACCTGCAAATGTAATTCAGTCTTTCTAGGTTTCTTCAAGGAGAAAGAGGCAAAAAGGAGCAGAAGTGACTGCCTCTTGCTAGTTCAATTTTAGGTTGGGTTGTGGCTGTAGTTTTGTTTGTAAGCCTGATGTTTGAAATGGCCCCCCTCCAGTGTTTGCCGGTGAGGTTTCATGGTGCTCACACAAGTTCTCCTGGGTTCCAAGGAACACTCCACCAAAAACTGGCAGTAGTTTAATTGTTGCTTTAAAAAAAAAAAAAAAAAAAAACCTGACAAAAAAAACCACAGCCACAAAACCAAACAAGGTTTTGCAACTTTCCTTACATCACTGTTCCCAATTGTAGCAACTTCTGCAACAACAAAGTATTAACTGTATATAGTAGTATATGTGTATTGTTTGTTTCCGTATTCTTCCTTTTTTAAGATCTAAGTTATGCAGGTCTTTTATATCTGACAGTTCTGAACCATCTGTCTAGCAAGGTAGGACTGTAAAATATTCTTAGTTTATGGTTGGGTTATTTTAGATGTATCTTCAAAAAATATCCGCTAGTCAAAGGTCTATAGAGCAAGTGTGATTTGTTAAATTGCAACTGATTAGATCTACTATGAAAATTTTCTTGTATGAAATCAGTTTCATATTATTTATGTGGTACCAGGTTTTGAAAGAGGAAGCATTTTTTTTAGCTTCTGTGTTATCTAGAAGGAGGGGAGGAGGCAAAGAGTGTGAAAATCGCAAGTTTCTCATAATATGGACATGTTTTCCATTAGAGACCACTTCTATGCATATGTAAATCCGGAGGAAAAACCCTTCTATTTTGCCTACACCACCCATTTCATTCAATGCACAGGTACCAATTTATCAGTCCTCAATCTGACTCCCTAGATTGTCAGGCAGTGAAGAGGCAGAAGAAAGGAGAACAGGTCATCCTTTACTGTCAGTAGAGGAAAGGAGTTAGCCACTTTTATCTCCCCCTTTAGTGTAACATCTCAAAGAAAGTTTGTTGTCAGCAATTTGTTGGCTGCAGAAGCTTTATCATCTAAGTGGTATGAGTTGCTGGGAAAGCTCATTTACTGACAAGTTAAATGTTATGATCTCCTGTAAGCTGTGTATGTAATACTGCATTTTATGGTCTAGCCGTGCAGTGCAGAGCTATTCTCCGTGTAACACGTATGTTGAACATTAACTACTATTTGGGTACAGAAGGTGGAGTGTGCTGTCTCTGTTTTCTATTGGGTGTGTGGCAGTTGAAGATAAACGTACTGGCAGTTAATGTCATAAAGCAAGCAACCAGGAACAGAGAGATTGTAGGGCATCAAATCGTTTTTTTCTGATTTTGTGAATTCCTCATGTCTTGCCGTTTCTTTTTTTATTGCTTTGGAGGGTTTCCTCTTCCCTCATTCGGGCAGAATCAGTTTAAATTCTGTTGTGCTTTGGTTTGGCTTCTTTTAACAAGTGCTGAATTTACTACATATGAGAAAATACATTCTGGATACATTTTAGCAATCTTTTTGTTTGGTTTATAGCAGTTATTGTACATCTAAAGGTGATGGTTTGTTAGCAGTGTACTGCTTTAAGAAGCTGTTGTATTCTCATCTGCTTTTAATAGCATGTTGAACTTTGATTAAGAATGGCTATTATCTACCTCTTGCTCCCCCAAAATAATAAAGCAGTATCTTATGATGATAATTTAATGCTTGTTTTAAGTTTTTATGCAGCTTATTTTAATGGAGCTCCTAATACTGTTCCTGAAATTTGATAAGCTTCAATTTCTGTGCTTCTGCGTTGTTAGTAAAAAACCAAAACCAAAACCTCAAATAAAACTTGCTACCTACACCTAAGCTTGCTTGACCTTGGAAAAATAGAGAGAGGTGAAACTCTTCATCTTGTCTTTTGCTGGAAAAGACAGATTTTAGACAGCTTGGGATCCTGGACAGGAGTTCTGCGTGTTCCATTTGATGCTGCTTTTGTGCAGAAGGCCAAACTGAAGGAACTGAATGCTGTTTAGCTCTCCTTCAGCTGAAATCAGGGATTTTTTGCTACATTTTGGGATGAAGTGGTAATGCCTAATATGTTAGAGCTTTAAAAAAAACAAAATTAAAAAAAAAAAAAGATATGTGAGGGACAGCAGGCACATAAGTGGTTCCAGATCTGTACTTTCCTGTGTAGAATACACCTGTAGCTTCGGTCTCTCACTGAGATTTATGATCATCTCATGTATTTTTAGCCAAGGGGGATTTTTTTGCTCAGGAACTTGAAAACTTCCTTCCCCAAGTAACACAGCAGGGTTTACATGAAAAATTGGTTTGTTATTCCCACTTTCTCCTACCCACCTGTAACCTCCAAGCTTTGCTGCTTCTAGTGTTCAAAGTTGAAACACTGGGTATCCAAATTCTTGGCTTAACCTCAGAACAAGTACACAGGCCAATGCAGCCTAGCTTTAAGATCAGCTAACTTGTCTACCCATAGCCCACGATTAGGGTTAGTTTTGTTTCCATGCCTATGTGTTTCAGATGGCATGCCGAGTAAGAATTGTAGCTTTTTTCCCCCCCCCTTTTTCTGTTTCTCCATTTAAAGACTGTAAATGTGATTGCATTTAGCAACATTATGGAAAGATTGTTATCAAATGCCATTAATTTTCCTCACAGTGCTCTTCAAGTCTTCAAGCTGTCCAGAATTTATGTTGCAGCTTGAGTGGTGGTATGGCACTGCATGACTGCAGTTGATATGTGATAACAACCAGCAGATTTCAGGCAGTGTGTCAAGCAAGCTTTTCCTGGAGAATTTGGCTTCCTGGGGTTTAAAATGTGACTTAGGACACTTACAGGACATAAGCCTTTCCTTTCTCTCCTACACTTTGAGTTACAGCGAACTTTGAAAATTTTCATTGAGAGTGAAGTCCGATGCTGTTGAAATAGCTGCAGGCAGCAGCAACATGTCACTGTATCTTTCTTGAAGAAAATAAAAAAGAAATGTCAATACAATTCTTTAGAATAAAAAGTATTACTATTTAGATATTATTTTCCATTGTGCATCTCCTTTCCCCCATTTGAACTTAAAAAGAAACCTGTTCAAACAAACCAACCTGCACCCACCCATTAAAAAAACCTACTTTCTTTTCTGTTACAGAAAAATGCAAAGGGACAGGAGTTGTTTGACCAGATTGTATATCATTTGGACCTTGTGGAAACCGATTACTTTGGCCTACAATTCATGGATGCTTCCCAGGTTACAGTAAGTATAACTTCAGTTAATTTTTATGTTCTGCAGTAGTTAGTGTTGCCTATTATAAATGTATTACTGGTGCAGTTTCATGGAGAGATGTAGGCCTTAGGGGATATACTGCTGAAACAACTAGTATCACGTTTGGTTCTTGTACATAAAGCCAAGACTTCGAAATCAGTCATGTGTCATTATATATCATATGCACATGACTTGATTGCACATAAGTGAAGAAGCAATAATTGTGGGTGAAGAAAAATGTGCTTTATGTTTAGTAGACTCACAGTATTAACAATGGGTTAAATCTCTTGCAAGCAAGGGCTTCTTGTAACTCCTATCTTTGCTGTTCCATGCACAGATTATGTTGCTCTGTAGATTTAGTTTCATTTGCAATAGAGAAAAATTTTCCTTCTCCCCTATCCAATGACCTCCAGCATCTACAGGTAGAAGGAGGAGGAAAAAAAAAAAAGGAATGTATTTACAGATGCAAGTAGATAGATATATTAATAAGATAAGGTTAAAAAGACTGCAACCTTGTGGTTAAACTGTATTGCTATATATTTAATTTTTTCCTTTCTCTGTTCACCTTACATGCTGAGGTATTGGTATGACAGCAGCCTGGGTTGTGGATAGAGACTACGCAGACTTAGAAAATAAGTGCTTGCTTTTAGGCTCTCTGGTCAGTACATAGATTTTTTTTCCATTTTATTCTGTGCTATTAGAATAAAATGATGGGAAAATGTAGCTGCAATATTGACATCTTGTGAGATGTAGGTTCTAACTTTATAATCTCAGAAGTCTCAGCTTTACTCTCTAGCAAGCTTGGGTCAATGTGATTAGGTCAGATCAGTGTTTTATCAGCTGCACTATCATCTGTGTTTTACCAATGACTTTAAACAAGAAACAGGAAACCTGTCCAGATACTATAATGACTTGATATTGAGAAAGGGAATCTATGCTTTTGGGGAAGAGAAAACTGGTATTTTCTATTTAAACATTATCCTGATACGCCAGTTAATTTAAGGGTATGTATTTATCACTGGAAACTGATGTTTGAATGAAGTATGTCCATAATGGGTTTGGGGTTTTTAGGAAGTTTAGTGTGTTTGTGCCTGATAAAACTTACATTACATAAATTGTGTGTCCTTTTATGATGGACCTGATCATAAGGACACAGCTAATAGAGCAGAGCCTGCTCATAATAGGAAAAACAGATTGTATTGTCACTGATTGTCAAATCGCCTAATTGGGAACTTGATAGCTAGGAATAGTTACCTAGCAAGGAGTTCTCTAATGTTTTGAAAGAAGGGAAGCAGAAAGGGAGAGCAAAACATCCCTTCCTAGCAAGAAAGAGGGCAGATCAGAAGCAGAAGACGTGGCAGAGGAAGCAGAGAATGCTCATTTTCTTACATATTTGCAAAACTGAAGGGCTCTTTTGAATGGTAAGAAAAATGAATCAGAGGTGTGAACAAGTCTGTTTTCCGTAGATAGCTCTATCCCTGGTGTTCAGGGCAAAATGTGCCTATATGTGCAATCGTTTTAGCTTGCTTTGTGTGCTATTTCTTTGCTCTGTATTAGTGGGGGGAAGTAAATCACGGCATCTACAGTTACAAGAGGGATAAGGGCTATGAGCAGCTTCTGGGGGGGGGGGGGGGGGGGGGCAAGAG